GACCAAAATAGTAGGACCCCCCCCTCCCCCCCCCCGAGTAAAGATCCCCAAATAGTGCCAAATAGTAGGAGCCCCTTGTAGTAAGGCCCCCAAGAAGATACCCATAGGGGACCCCCTACTGTAGATCCCCAAGTAGTAGGATTTTGCAACAAGGACCCCAAGAAGGTACCCATAGGGCACCCCCCAAAATAGATCCCAAAATAGTAGGCCCCTTTGTGAACCCTCAATATAGATCCCTAAATCGTAGGAGCCGCTTTGTAATAAGGACCCCGACCCCTAATTTCGGAAACAAACCCTAAACCCTAAACCCTAAACCCTAAACCCTAAACCCTTAATTTCAAACCCTAAACCCTAAACTCTATAAACCCAGGTCCCCAGCCGACGGGGAACGCGGGCACAGCGGAGACTGCCGACGCCGACATCCCCTACCTCTCAGGCATTCCCACACTGCGTTCCAGCGCTCATAGGGTCAAGCAGCTGGGTCTCTTTTTAAGGGTTTAGGGTTTAGGGTTTGGGGTTTAGGGTTTAAGGTTTAAGGTTTAGGGTTTAGGGTGTAGGTCAGGGTAGTTGCATGGGCCTTAGTATGGTCCCTAACCTCCTTGAAAGGGGTTCTGATGTAGGGGACCTTAATTTGCAGAGGGTACATAAGGGGTCCTCTGTCTAAGGGCCCATACGAACAGTGGACCCTTTTCGCTTTCTAGGGGGTTCTCGGTTCCTTCTGAGACTACACAGTACTAGATTGGGAGCTCTTTTTTGCTCCTAGCCTGCTGAAGATCTCAGGTATGCTCCACAAAGTCGGAAGCACGATCCTAATCCAAAGAGTCGTGACGGCAAGGAGACTCGGACAGCGTGCTTGCCGGACAGCCTGCTGAAAGAAGAGGTCTTTTCCTACGACTCGTCCGTTTACAACATGCGCATGGCCGTTGTTTCCTTGCTGAAGCAGTGCGATGCAGATATTGTGGGCAGCTTCCGCGGGGACGGGGAATCCAAGTTAGAGGACCTCTCATTCAAACCGATTCAAACCCCCCAACAAGACTTTTTGACTTCCTTGTAAACATGCTCTCCTCTCGGCTTCATTCAGGGGGGTCCACTTGTCGTACTATCCTGGACATGGGTGCCAAGGAGCCCATACTGTGTAATATAGGGGCCTTAATGACTAGAATAGGGTTTTGGGGGTTATTCTATTGTAATGATAAAGGGACCTTGAGAGAAGCATATTAGTAGTTATTCCGACCCCTATTTTAGATAAGACTGTGTGTGGACCCTCTGTGGGCTAGAGCATGGGCAGAGGCGGGAAGACTTCAGAGCCAAGGAAGCCTCTTTCATGGGTTCCCCTACTACACGCCGCCTCTATACTGCCCCTTCTGGGTTCCCCCCTCAGAATCAAGGCTATGTAGTATTTAGGGCCTGAATACTACATAGCCTTAATTCTGAAGGGGGGGAACCTAGTTTAGGGATAACTTAAGCCTAATGAAGGTTTTTGTTTAGGGGGGGGGGGGGGGGAGTATAGAGGGGGGTCGCAGGGGAACCCATGACTCCCACGCCCGAGCTGGAGGATTTTTGCGTTCCAACCGACTCGACGTGGAGGTGGGGATACACCCCAAGTCCTAAACCCTACACCCTAAACCCTAAACCCTAAACCCTAAGCCTGGTTCCCAAGCGCCAGACCTGTGAAAATCCGAAACCCCAAGCTTCCCACCCAACACCCTCATACACGACCCAGGGGCAAGCACCCTAAGTTTGACACTTTGTCTACTCTTTGCTTAAGGGCCCCAAAAGAATAACAAGTCATAATCCCTATGTAACCCTTAATAGCGAAGAATATTTTTTGTGGTTCTTAATTATTGAGCAATTAGTAGTTGCGGGTTGTGATTCTTGGAGTTTCGCGACCCCCTGGGCCAGCGTGTCGTGCTTCAGCTTGAGCGCCTCGGGCTAGAACTCCTAGGAGCCTTAGGGTTTAGGGTTTAGGGTTTAGGGTTTAGGGTTTAGGGTTAAGGTCTACAGAGTTTAGGGGCTGCCCTGGGACCCACTTGGACCTTTGCTTGTTTCACAGCAAAGTAGGGGGTCTTAAATCGCTAAACTAAACCCTAAACCTTTGCATTGCTGGGGGTTTCCGCAAGTAAGGGTACCTTCTTGGGGTCCTCATAATACGGGGATCCTACTCTTCGGGGATCTATATTGGGGGTCCTGTATTTTCGCAAGCCCCCATGTCCATCATAGCACTCTAAAGCGGCGCCCCTTTCGATTCGCGCAGAATGAGTATAACCTTAAACCCGAAACCCGAAACCCTAAACCCTAAACTATAACACTCGGCCGGCCCGGCGCAGGTCTGTCAACGGTGGAAAATGCGAAGACGCGCAAAAGTATCTGGGTTGGGAAACTTGGGAACCTCTTCCAGAACCCTAAACCCTAAACCCTAAACCCTAAACCCTAAACCCTAAATGTGCAATCTCGCTTCACTTTAAATGGGCTGTTCGGGTTCGGAACTCGGAGTTCAGGCTTTAGGGTATGCTGGGCCGAGGAAGTCGGAACTCCAGCTTCGTCGTGGTGTAGGCTCTTGCTTGGATCCTAAACCCTAAACCCTAAACCCTAAACCCTAAACCCTAAACCCTAAACCCTAAACCCTAAACCCTAAACCCTAAACCCTAAACCCTAAACCCTAAACCCTAAACCCTAAACCCCAACCTAAAACCTAAACCCTAACCCTATACCCAGGTATTTGTCGGACCAGATCGCCCAGAACGAAGCCTTCCTCGCCGAGTTTGACCGGTTGGTCCGCGAAGTGGTTCTGCCCTACATGAGACTTGCGCTGGTTTCTGGTTTAGGGTTTAGGGTTTAGGGTTTAGGGTTTAGGGTTTAGGGTTTAGGGCTCCCATTCGGAGGAAGAGGCGCCTTGTGGAGGCTGGTGTCGCCGAGTTCCAGGAGCCGCGAAGTGTTGGCACCAGCTGCAGGTTTTCGGATTAGGGTTTAGGGTTTAGGGTTTGGGGTTTGGGGTTTAGGGTTTAGGGTTTGGGTCTTGGGGTTCAGGGTTTCGGGTTTGGGATTTGGGGTCCTTTGGAGTTCTAAGCTCTGGAGCCCTAAGCCCCAGATCCCCAGTAGTCTTTTGAGTTCACGACTCCACCCTAAACCCTAAACCCTAAACCCTAAACCCTAAACCCTAAACCCTAAACCCTAAACCCTAAACCCTAAACCCTAAACCCTAAACTCCATGGAGGAGCCCATGAAATTCTACTACCAGCGGCCGCCGACACTGAGGTTGCAGCCTGGCCCTGCGCGCTCTCACGTCAAGGCATGAGGGCCAAGGGTTTGGGGTTTAGGGTTTGGGGTTTGGGGTTTAGGGTTTAGGGTTTGGGGTTTAGGGTTTAGGGTTTGGGGATTAGGGTTTAGTTTTTAGGGTCTGCCTAGAGCAGCCTGTGTACTTTCAAAAGCAGGGCAGGTGCCTGATCATTTGCTATACTGACCCTGTTTCGAACCCTAAGGATTCATGTACTTATATAGAGTATACTTGGGCCCTAAAGCTACTATATAGGAACCCCATTAAGGCCCAAGTATATACTATATAGGTACATGGATCCTTTGGGGAAGGTACATGGTTACTCAAGGCAATACTTGTAGGGTTCCCTAAGATTCCTTCTAGAGGGTCCGCCACTTCCAGCACTCTTCTACCCTAAACCCTAAATCCTAAACCCTAAATCCTAAACCCTAAATCCTAAACCCTAAACCCTAAACCCTAAGGCAACCCAAGACCACGCTAAGTAGGTAAGTGCCAGCGTTTTTCTTCGGGTATCCGAGGCTCTAAACCCTCAGCCCTCCTTTCATAGCATAGTTTCTTCAGCTTTGCCCTAAACCCTAAGCCCTAAACCCTAAACCCTAAACCCTAAAGCCGCGAACATGCCGAGGCTCATAACGATGCAACCTATGGGCATCAGAATGGCGAGCTGAATTTCTGGCTGCCGCTGACGGACCGGAAGCTGACGCAGGTCGACTTGCACTGCGAGTCTGTTGCGGATCAAGGTGTGTGCCTGGGGGAGGGGGGGGGGGGGGGGGGGGTGGTCGAAGTCCACCCATGACCCCATAAAAGCCCATAGAACCCTAAACTCTCAAGCCCCCAAAAAAGAGTGCGTGCAGATGTATACACATGATGTGTATGGAGCTACTAAGCCTTAATAATTAAGCCTTATAATTTAAGCCTTAATAATTAAGTGTTTTGGTAATAATTAAGCCTTAAAAATTAAGCCTTATACACCCCCTAGGAGACTACCATGCTGTCGCAGCCGAGCCTGGCGAAATGATTGCCTTTCACGGCTCTTCCTGTCGGCACTACATCAACGCCAACACAACGCCCTACACCCGCGTCTCCATGGACTTCCGCGTGGGCGTGGAAGGCTTCTTTGACCCAAAGTGGGCGATGGTGGGGACGAGCGACGACCACACACGCCGCGAAGTTTCACTGTAGCAGTTTTGGCGCCAGCTGCAAGCTACAAGTACACTGACACATCCGACTGGAGCGGCGCGTCCAAGGGGCTTTCATTTCCTTGGACCCAAAGCGCAGTAAGCCCCAAACCTGCAACGCAACCAAGTCTTCATCAACTCGAAGACGCGTTTGCGACTCAGGCTAAAAAGAAGGACCCCAATAAGGTGCTCCTAGTGTCGGAAAGCCACATATTACTAGATTCTGGTATTACTATCTTGTTGTGCGCTGTTGTTATGAGCCCCGGTAGCTCATTGAGGGTAGGGTCTTGACGATCGAAACAGAGACGCATGCCTATCAATCCCTCTTGAGGTTTAGGGTTCAGAGTTTAGGGTCTACCTGGGTAGCCGGCCCCCCATCGTAGGGAAAGGAAGATGCTGTCCCTAAACCCTAAACCCTAAACCCTAAACCCTAAACCCTAAACCCTAAACCCTAAACCCTAAACCCTAAACCCTAAACCCTAAACCCTAAACCAGTTCGAAGTGCAGCCTCGCTCCCAACCATCCCTCACTGCTCTCGAGCTTGCCAGGCTGCTTTCTCCCAGGCCTTTGGGGTCTCGTGCGATGTTTGGGGTCGCCCCTAAACCCCAAACCCTAAACCTTAAGGCCTAAAGCCTAAAGCCTAAAGAGAAAAGCCTCTAAACGCTGAAGCCTGAACACTGAATCTGAAATAGGATGAAGTTCAGATTTCAAGACCAGATGAGCTACTATTTGCTCAAGAGCCCTAAAAGAATTAAAAAAACTCATTGTCCCTTTATTACACTTTAAGGCATTTTTTTTTTTGTGGGGGGGGGGGGGGGGTTCTCAAGCAACTAGTAGAAAAAGGAAGGCCGAAGGGCAACTTGGGCCAGGCTTCGGGGTTAGGGGCTTAGGGCTCAGGGGTTTTGGGGGCGGCAGAGGGCGTAGGGTGTAGGGTTTAGGGCTTAGGGTTTAGGGTTTAGGGTTCAGGGTTTAGGGTTTAGGGTTTAGGGTTCAGGGTTTAGGGTTTAGGGTGTAGGGTTTTGCGTTCTGTCATTGATGGCAAATGTGGCTTTGTCTGCTTTGTTCACCTGCCCTTGCGAGCGACATCTCCAGCAGTGGAGCCAGGCCTTTCGCGAAATCCAGCTGCACTCCTGAATTCCCAGAGAGACTACTCCTTAAACCACACTAAGGATCCCATGTAATTTAGGGTATATACCTTAGCTAAGGAATATGGGGCTCTCATGAGTTCTTCACGATGTTGAAGTCCCCACTCCTTGCAGAGTTCACTTGGTCATGTTCTTTGGTTTGCGCATGGCCTTGTGGGAGAGTGGTCAGGGTTCAGGTTTAGGGTTTAGGGGTTAAGACACCGTAGAATAGCCCACACCATGCTGACGCGATCAGTCAACCCTAAACCCTACACCCTGAACCCTAAACCCTAAACCCTAAACCCCGAACCCTCAACCTTAAGCCCGAAACCCTACGTCGATCTTGCCCATTTCCCGGCTTGATGAGCTTCCCTTTTTCAAGTACTACAAGGACCGGTCGAAGCTACCACGTCGGCCGTGCACTGGACAAAGGCATGAGCAACATTGGTCTCTATCCCCTATTGGGTTTAAAGGGATCATGCTCAAGAGTATTTTTCAGAGCACCCGAAAAACCCTCTTTGGTATTGTTTCTGGGTTCCTGAACCCTAAACCCAAAACTCCACAACACTGAACCCCTCAACTAAGATCACAAGAGTGCTGCAAGCGGACCCTCCGGACTTTGCAGCGTTTGAACCTGCATGTCTCTGCCGTGAAGCCATGGACGTGGCATTTGTTGAGCCCAGGGAGAGGCCTTCTGTACCTCTCACGGGGAGTCTTGAAAGGGGGGTTTAGGGTTTAGGGTTTAGGGCTTAGGGTTTAGGGTTTAGGGCTTAGGCTTTAGGGTTTAGGGTTTAGGAGTTTAGGGTTCAGGGTTTAGGGGATTTTTGGGCGGCATAGAGATTGTCATTCTTTGTTTTTTGGAGGGGGGTTCTTAAGCAAGTGGTAGTTTAGGGTCTAGGGTTTCGGGTCTAGGGTTTAGGGTTGAGGTAGTTAAGGCTTCTTCATACGCCCTAAACCCTTAAACCAGGGAGAAATATACAGGGTGCACTGGTGCAGATTATAGGGATGACTAGGTTACCTGCCCCTTGCACCCCGACCTCTTGTAACCTTGTACCTTCAAAGAAGAACAACTATGTGGGTATTTCCCAAAGTAGGGCTACCCCTTTTATACCCCAAATAGAAGAGAATCCTTCTAAAGGGACGCCCTAGAAAGGGAACCCCTGTTTTTCGGAGACACCCGAAATATGCCCCCCCCCCCCCCCCCCCGAATTCGAGCATGCTTCTGTGAACTTTAAGGAGGTTGGCAGACCCTGTGGCCTGAACCCGAGGGAATGTCGGACAACACTACCAAGCCCCTAAACCCTATAAACCCTATAAACCCTATAAACCTTAAACCCTATAAACCCTATAAAACCTATAAACCCTATAAACCCTATAAACCCTATAAACCCTATAAACCCTATAAACCCTATAAACCCTATAAACCCTATAAACCCTATAAACCCTATAAACCCTATAAACCCTTTAAACCCTATAAACCCTATAAACCCTATAAACCCTATAAACCCTATAAACCCTAGACCCTAAACCCCCTAAACTCTTAACCCCCAGACCCTTAACCCAAACCCCCCAAACCCTGAATCCCGAAGGGGGGGCGTGGCCACAAAGCGGGCCTCTACTGCAGCCCCACGCCGGCAGAAAGGTTTCGGAGAGATCGGCCTTCAGAGTTCCAAGGGGTAGGGTTTGGGGTTTAGGGTTTAGGGTTTAGGGTTTAGGGTTTAGGGTTTAGGGTTTAGGGTTTAGGGTTTAGGGTTCAGGGTTATTTAAGGGCTTAGGGTTTCGGGTTGACTGGTGATCTCGGGCGTAGGGCTTAGGGAACGGAAAGCCTCAAGCTGAAGATGTCTGTGTCCTGCACACTTTGAAGATCCAGGGGGTAAGGCACCCCCCAGCCCTAAGCCCAAACCCTAGACCCTACACTCAGGTGTCAGTCGCCATGACTGTTGCTCGTTACACTGCGCCGGGCATGCCTGTGGCGTGGCTGCAGGGCAACCCTAGACCATGCGGTAGGAAGAGACGGTGGAATACGTTTTAATTTTAATGCATTCAAGTTGGGATGTTCGAACCTATGCTAACAGTCCTTAACAGGGATTATAGTACCCCCTGTTATACTCCCGGTTAAGGACTCTTGTATAAGGGGGAACATCCCTGTATAAGGGGAAAATCCCAACATTCAAGGATTCTGGCAATGTCCTTGTTTAATAGGTTACTCCAGGCAAACCCTGAATCCGAAATTTGCCATCCCCAGGATTCCTAAACCCTAAGTCCTAAACCCGAATCCCTAAAGACCCCAAACCCTAAGTCGTAAGTCGTAACCCTGAGTCCTGAACCCTAAGTCCTAAACCCTAAGTCCGAATCCCCAAACCCCAAACCCTAAACCCTTAACCCTAACCCTAAACCTGCCAGGTTTGGGGGCTGACCCAAGCAGCGGGGTACAGGGTTTCGAGGTAGGACCTTGGGACATTGTCTAGGACCCAGAGCAGGCCCCGATTCCACTTGTTTAGGTTTAGGGTTTAGGGTTTAGGGTTTAGGGTTTAGGGTTTAGGGTTTAGGGTTAGGGTTTAGGGTTTAGGGTTTAGGGTTTAGGGTTTAGGGTTTAGGGTTTAGGGTTTAGGGTTTAGGGTTTAGGGTTTAGGGTTTAGGGCTACCAGGACCCAGAATAGGCACTGTTTTTTTCCCTTTTTGGGGGGTTTAGGTTCCCTTACAAGCAAGCCCCGTTAAACCAAAAAGGTCACTCTGTTCATTTGTTGTTTTTCCCTAGGCTACTCTTGGGTCAATGTACTTTCCCGTGTTGGGGTCTCTGAGGAGTCTAGTTATGAAGATTCTCGGAGACTTCTTAAAGGCCAACCTAGGAAACGGATTTTTTGGTTGGGTGGTGGATTTCTCATAATAATCCTGAACCTAAACCCTAATCCCGAAAACCCTTTAAAACCCAAACCCAAAAACCTAAACCTCAAACCCTAGACCCTAAACCCTCAAGCTGAGGCTCAGTCTCCAAGCTCTCAGGCGCTCAGCGTTTGTGACTGTTCGTACAGTGGGTTTAGGGTTCAGGGTTCAGGGTTCAGGGTTCAGGGTTCAGGGTTTAGGGTTTAGGGTTTAGGGTTTAGGGTGTAGAGCTTGGGGCTTAGGGCTTAGGGTTTAGGGTGTAGCTAAGCAGTTGGGAGTTGCCTAGAGCTGCCAGAGTTGTCTGCTGTAGAGTTCGGACATGGAATCCGGTAGCAGAAGCCCATACGATAGTTTTTTGGTGCTCCCTCTGAGTGACAGGGCTAAGGGTGTTAGGGAGTCACAGAAAAAAGCGTGAAACTACTAGCACGTTGGGCATTGTCGACATGCACGGAGGGGCTGTTTGGGTCGTCGTCGTTGTCGTCGTTGTCGTCCTCGTCCTCCTCGTCCTCGTCCTCGTCCTCGTCCTCGTCCTCGTCCTCGTCCTCGTCCTCGTCCTCGTCCTCGTCCTCGTCCTCGTCCTCGTCGTCCTCGTCGTCCTCGTCGTCCTCGTCGTCGTCGTCGTCGTCGTCGTCGTGGTCGTCGTAGCAGCAGCAGCAGCAGCAGCAGCAGCAGCAGCAGCAGCAGCAGTAGGAGTAGTAGTAGTAGTAGTAGTAGTAGTAGTAGTAGTAGTAGTAGTAGTAGTAGTAGTAGTAGTAGTAGTAGTAGTAGTAGTAGTAGTAGTAGTAGTAGTAGTAGTAGTAGTAGTAGTAGTAGTAGTAGTAGTAGTAGTAGTAGTAGTAGAAGTAGTAGTAGTAGTAGTAGTAGTAGTAGTAGTAGGAGTAGGAGTAGGAGTAGGAGTAGGAGTCGGAGTAGCAGCAGCAGCAGTCCTGCACCACAAGCAGACACCCTATGCTACCCAACCCGAAGAACAACGAGCAGCAAGGTTTCTGATAAGCAGCAGCCCGCAAGCACTAGCTAAGGCCTTTTCCAGTAGTTGCCAGAAGGCTTCTCAAGTCAGCTAGAAGCCAAAAGGGGCTACCTACAAACAAGCACTCTTGAGTTAGTTTAGGGTTTGGGGTTTGGTGTTTAAGGTTCAGTGTTGGGATGTTTCCCCTTATACAGCAGTCCTTAATGGGGATCATAGTACCCCTGTTCCTAATCCCTATTCAGGGCTGTTAGACTGTTAGTATAAGGGGCAGCTTCAGAGTTCAGGGCTTAGGCAAGCCAATGAACAAAAAGGTCCCGGATCTACCCTTGCCACGTGACATCCTGAAACCTCCAATTCCCCCGCCGAAGCCCCCTTGGGATGGAGTCAGGTTTCGGATTTATTGCGGGGTTCAGGGTTTAGGGTTTGAGGGTTAGGGTTTAGGCCGGTCGGTCGGTGCAGCTTAGAAGTCGCGCTGAGGACGCACTTGCAGGCTCGAAGTGAAAAGCTAATGAGGGTTTAGGGTTTGGGGTTTAGGGTTTAGGATTTAGGGTTTAGGGTTTAGGGTTTAGGCTTTAGGGTTTAGGGTTTA